CTTGCATCTGTTGAATCAGTTACTCCAGGTTTCAGTAATTACTTCAACAAAAATAACCAGCAATCTATATCTACTCAAAATCTGTAATTATAACTATAACACATATATGTGTGTGTTACATACATGGAATGTCACTCATGCAAAGTACAGTAAGGTTTAGCAAACACCAGTTTAATCTGATGAACGCAGAAACCTAATCTCAAAAATCCACAAATAAAATTCAATAAGAAACACACCTCAGAAACTATATCAGTGTCATCAAGCTTTAAAAGCTGAAAAATATAATTTTAAAATGTTGTCTCTTCCAACAGCATTTACAATCTGCGCTGTTCCTGAATGTCTTTATAAATCATGTTTACAAGAATATGTAAAATACGCATTTAAAAAAATCAAGACGCTCTGTTTTTAAAAAGCATTGGAAGTTCTTTCTTTCGAACATGGCATTTAAAAATTTTTCTTTCAAATTAGACATCATTTATATATTTTTCAATTTCTCTAAATAAATTTGTTTACAGTGTTTCAAAAGGTATTCAGTGTGCGCAACAGTTTTCTAAAAGAACAATATTTTCTCCAACATCTCCATCTGCTGGCTTAGAGAAAAAGTAGATTTTTATTTGCCGTTTCTTCACATTTTTCTATAATTTGTTTTAAGAAATTGAAATACAAAGTTATTAAATTATATTAAAATAGACTAATAACCTTTTGTCAAAGTCATTCCTCAAGAGAAACAAAAAGGAAAGATTTTGAAAAATAAATGTAATATTTAATATGTTAGTCCACAAGCCCTGTGAGATCACTCGTGTTTATAATCCTATCAGACAGTTTTATTTTAAAAAAGTTTTAGTAATGAAAATAGCGTTAAGGTTAATTAGTAATTTTAGAAAGTAAAAAATACTTAGCATTTTCCTAAAAATCTGCTGTTTATACACAATATAAATATGTGGTGTATACACGTGTCAATATTACATTTATTATTTTCACAAAAATCTAGATTTTTTTAGTTACTTTATAAATTACTTGAGTATAAAAAAACTAGACTAGCCTCACGTCTCACATGAAAGTCCCTAGCCACAGCTCTAGCCAGTGTTCACCGAAGGCGTCAATGCCACAAGGCTGGGAAAATTATTTGAAAGAACGCAGAGGTAAAAGGTTAGAAAAAAATGAATTACCATGGGAAAAACATTCATTTACTCTTTGACACTTAGGAGGTACTATATAAATATTTGTTGAATGAATGGATGAATGAATGAAATTTTGAGGCCCATCACTGGTTTCAACTGCTGAACACATCAGATTTTAGTCTCAATTTGTTTCTGGGTTTATGCTTGTAGTTTCTCAGGCTGTTCTTGTTATTTGGTGTCCAGTCGATTCCCACTCATAGGGTCTCTACAGGACAGAGTAAAACTGCCCCATAGGTGGATTCGAACTGCTGACCTTTTGGTTAGCAGCCTGAGCTCTTAACCACTGTGCCACCAGGACGCTGGTTTCTCCTGAGGAAGTCTTATTTTTTTAACAACCTTCCAGAAAAAAAAAAATAATAATAAAAAAACTTAGAACTATCCCCATCTAACAGGAAGGGAGAGGAAGTAGGGTAGAGGGAGCAGAGGGGAGGGGAGGGAAGGAAACAGGGAGGGAGAGAGAAAGAAAGAAATTGGAAATCTGTATTTCCTCAGGTACCCATGGAAACAAAGGAGACCAAATAGGTACTTGGATTATCCCACTGTGACTGTGAAAGAGAAGAATGTGGGAGTTCGGTGAGATGTGATGCACACAGTTATTTTACCCAGTTCAGAACACAATGACTGCATTTCATTTGCATAACCTTAAGCGTTCAGTAGATCTCATTGGATCTTTAAATCAACGTCAAACTTGGCAGTTTCAAATAAATTCTTCCATCTAAAGAGTGGAATTAAATTAGTAAACTAATACCTTTTCTCTTTTGAAAATACTGTATTATTGAGCTATAAAATTTCATGCTCTTAACATATAAACTTAACCCTGTAGGATTTTTAGAAGAGGAAGAACAAGCTACACTATGAGTGTTGGCTGATGATACATCATTTTAAGAATAGAATTAAAGAGCAAAATTACTTAGATTTATGGGAAATAGTGGGGAAAAGCTGTTTTGGTCTTAACTATCAAAATATTTGATCCTGCTGCTTCCACTTGATACAGGGAAGAGTTACAGACTCCTCTGAATGAAAAGGTAATAAAACAAAGGATAAACTTTGGAAAAATAATCTTGAGCAGGATTTAAATCATCAAGACTCATTTTCACAATTTTTCCATTAAAGATTTCCATCCATTTCTTGACTATTGACTTTGTGACTGTGGTTTCCATAGTACCGCTCTCTCTGGAAAGAGTTTAACTAATTTTATATTTTCTATTATTCTTAGCAAAGCTTAACAAAATAAAGAAGGACGGAAATGCTCCATTTCATGTTTACAATCTCTAGATTATAAAATTCCTACAGGAATGAAGAAACTGAGTCACAAAAGTTAAATGACTTGCCCAGGCACTGAGTCAATGTCAACTCCAAGAGATTCTATCTAATGAGCGTCTCTCCAGTAATAGTGTGTCTCACCGGGTCTCTTCAGCCACCAATATGGTTACTTATAACATGGGAGGTTCAAATGCCATTATTCTGAATTCCCATGTGGACAATTTGAAAATACTTTATCCATCAAGGAGTAATTACGGGATCTGGAAATAAGCACAATTTTATTTCAGCTTAACTTTCTGAGAAAAAAAGAAAATCCTGAGCTCACGAAATCTATGCAAAATGGATACTGATGATCCCAGCTTCTCAGAACAACGGGCAAACAAGTTGTTGGGCAGTTTTTTTGTTTTTGTTTTTAATCAAATCCATGTGCTGAATGTATGTGTTCTTTCTGTGAAAATTAATGGAGATATACATATCATATATTTAGTGTTTGTACATTTTTCTGCATCTTATTTCAGTAAAATTTCTATTAACAAATAAATCTACTCACAAACATTGAGACTAAGAACTTAAACGCATCACCTAACCGAAACTAACCACAATCTTTGATCTTTGCAAGGCGTCATCACTGAAGATTGGTTAGAATCAAAGACTCATTTTGTTCAGTGGGCGTATCTGTTTTTTCTCAGTAATCTCCTCATTTTCACCAATGCGTGAACTTCTCAACCACTGACCATTTTCAAAAAGTAAAGTAGCATATGCCTTCACTTTTTAAATCTTCCCCTTCATATAGCCATGAAGGTGTAAGATCCTTTGCTTTTCAAAGCTTTTTCATGCTAGTATACAATTATATACAGTTAGATACTCAGCACAGGAGCATGTCAAATTTAATATTCAGGGAAACCAAGGAAACTTCTTGATAACAGATGAATGGTCTAAATCAGGTAGATAAATAGGTCAAGCACAAGATTCTTCAAACACTAACCTACAACAGTTTCTTTGTATATGTATATGTTTATGTATGCAAATCCTCTTCAAGCCATTCTGTATCTCTGTCCCTTTTCTTCCTTGCCATCATCATTCGAAGAAAACATATAGCACCGAAACCTTCTTAAATCTATTCTTCCTGAACAATTCATGCTGGACACCTAAAGGGATCCCAGTAATGCCCCTATTCTATCGGTCAAAAGAAAATTGTTTCCGTTCTTCCTTCACTCGGGAAACACTAATTTCAAAACGAGTTGACGGTGTTCCAGACTATGATAATCTAGCCAAACTATCGATATACGATTAAGGCTTACTATGGGAAAGCTGGTTGGTAACCAGCTGTTTGTCTAACGTAGAACACTGCAGTTGAGCTTTTCCTGTGGTTATTTTCCTCTAGCTTCCTTACACTGCAGCCAACTGGTGGGTTGAGCCATCTGCAAACCCCCTCCCACAAATTGTTGGCTCTGAAATAAAAAGTGCGAACCTCGCGGCAGGAGAGAACCACCCCAGCGCAGGCGGCAAGAAATGATGGCCGCTGTCGGGAAGAGGGCCGGAAGGTACAGGAGCTGAGGCTGCGCTACCCACGCCGGCGCGGGGGAGGGAGCGCCGGGCACGGGCCGGCTAGCCTCGCCAGTCCACCTGGAGATGCCCAATTGCTGGGGCTCTGTTACTTCTTCTGAAGCCTCGAGAGAGCTTCCCTGTGGGGCGCGCAACACTGCGTGGAGTGATAGGGCTAATATGGAGAACTGCAAAGACCAAAATGGCTGATCAGCGACTGCTCAGGATCCTCAAACGCGGCCGGATCCCACCGCTTTCGGATCGGCTCTTTTTCCTCTTGCTGCCCCGCTGCAGCCCTGCTCCCCCGAGAACAAAGCGCGCCGGCCCGCGAGCTGACCGCGGCGCCCGGGGCGCACGGGCCCTTCCGACGCCGGAGGCTGCAGCCGAGCCGCCGAATGGTCGGCGGCCGCCCCCAGCCCCGAGCCGGGCCGCAGCTGCGTCAGCCTCGCCGCTCGCCGCCTCGGGGCCCTTGGTGGGCGTTATGTAACAGCCCCTGTCCCAACTCCAGAGCCATCTAACAACTTGTCCCGGCAGGGAGGAGACGTGGGGCTCCGAGGGGCCGCAGGATGAGCCCCAGCTGCGGCTGCAGGTCCCAGCCTCGGGGCGCGGGCTGCAGCTGGCCGGGTAGGCGGCCCCTGTGGGACAGCAGGCCAGCGCGCCCTGGGAACGGCGTGTTCTCTGCGGGCAGGGTGCCCACGGGCGTGCAAGGGCTGAGGGAGGGGGCGGCGGGGCTTCTCTTGGAGCACTCACGATGAGCGAGAAGCCTCCTCCCCTCCCGCCCCCACCCTGGCTCCCAAGTGCGCACACTCTTCAGAGCCTCTCGCCCCCACTTCACCCACACAAAGTCAGCGGGGGTCCCCGAGATCGCAGCCACCTTCTCTCTTCTCCGTCACGTGCATGCGCGTGTGCAGTCACTCTCACTCCTACACACACATGCACACGCCACCCCGCGCTCACACTCGCTGGCTTTCCGCGTGCGGCACCGGAAAGGCATGAATATTCATTACTTACAAGCATTGGTGACTGCGAAGCTGTTCGCTACCTCCAAATTGTCGATGTGGGGTGTCAGTCTGAACTCCGAAGTGGAAAACTGAACCATCCCTACCCGAAATGCACTGTATTCCTGATCAGCGCCCCTCGGAAATAGCCCCCCTGTAAAGAACAAGCACCAAGCAAAAGAACAGTGTCAGTGCCCGGGAGGGAAAGGAGTGCCCGACAGCCTGGGAGTCTCTTATTCATGCTAACTGGCCGAATAAACATCGCACTCGGGCAGCGGGGATCGAACTTCCAAATGGTATCCAAGGGGTCAAGACAGTGATGAGAATCTGAGGGGCAAGGCAGGTGGTCAGAGACATTCGCCTTTCCTCATAATCACAGAGCTTTGCATTCAGACCCCTAGAGTATCTGAACAAACGAGAAAATATTGTTAAGGCAGAATTAATCAAATCTAGGGGGTCAGAAATGAGAAGACCTTTTCCTAAGTGTAGGAAAGGCATAGGCTTTTCCCTTTGCTTCATCCTAAGAAAAATCATGTATATTCTAGGCAGTTTAAATCTGGAATGCAGTCAAGGTATGACATAAGTCTACATGACATGAATTAATTTGTCCACTGTGAACAAAGATTACCATCAAATTATGCACAATTCAAAAGCATAGCACAAAGGATACCTACCTATCTGTATGCTGTTAGAAGTGACACCAAAAATCAGTCCCCAAAAAACAGGAGAAAGGAGGACAGTAATATGCATAATCTTTTGCATTTCCAAGAAAAGTAGAGCATCCACAAAATACCCTTGTTTCCTTTTTCCTCCTCTTCCTTCTTCAGCCGTTTTCCTCAGCAAATTAGATCCTCTGCATTTTGAGAGAACAATTTAGCACCAAGCTGCTAAAAACCTGGAGTGCAAGCAGAAAAAGCCTTATTTCCCAGGTCCTGCTGGTGGCTGCTGCCCTGCGCCCTGTCCCCGCTCCCGAAGTCCGGAGGACTGGCTGGATGCAGTTTTCAGCCGTGTGGCCGCTGTGGTCCCAGTGTCTCGGAATATTCAGCACCCTCCCATGCACTCACACACACTCACCCTCTCTCGCAGTCTCTTCCCCTCTCCTCTCTCTCTCTCATACACGCGCGCGCGCGCGCGCACACACACTCACACGCACACACAGAGGCAAGTCACAGAGAGGGGCAGGCAGTCCCCGGCGCGCGTGCGCGACTCGCGGCTGGCGGCGGGCTCGCGCGCTCACCCCTCCCCCGGCCCGTGGCCGGCTCCCCGCACCGCTCTGGCTGCGGGGCGCGCGCGTCTCGGAACCCGCAGCCGCTGTCCCCGTAAGAAACGGTCGGTCTCGGGAGCCGCCACGCCCACCGACCCCCTCTGCCTTTCAGCACCGAGGACAGCGCCTCGCTCCTCTAAGGCGCTACTTTTGTACCGCTGCTGCTCCTGCCTCCAGATGCTCAGGCCCTGAACCAAATGCAGCAAAGCTGAATTCCGGCTGCTGTGCAAGAGAAGCCGAATTGCTAAACGTTTGGCGTGGACTGTTCTCTCCCCAGGCCCTGCTGTATTAAGAGTAATTTTGATTTTCATGTTCTAGAAAACACACCTAGGAATCCACCTAGAGACCTTGCCATCCACCTCACCTGACTCAGCCAAAAAGCAGACAAGCAAACAACATACCAATCGAAGAAGTGTTCCAAAATTGTGAACTTTAGCTTCATGTGATAGATCCAGGATCCGAGGAAAACCCAACACTCTCTGTAAGGTTCAAGCCTGATAGGAGAAGATGAAGATTGCATTGTTAAAGTGCTTTGAGTGGAAGTCGCATCTTTAGAATGTATTCCATGCCGGCTGGCTGTCATGCAGACTCGCTGCCACAATGCGTGCGGGTCTCTCTCAGCCCTCACTGCAGACTCCCTCCCGCTGTAGAGACTTGGCTCCTGAGAAGCCTTTCTTTATACAGATTGAAAGCCAGAGACTCCGATTCAAGGAAAGGCTAATAGAGAGAAGAGATTGGGAGGAGCAAAGATACAAAGGCCGCAGAGCTGCAAAGTCTTTCCCAGAGATTTCATTAGAAACTGAATACCCTGTCGTCTTTGGGCTACAAGTTTTGAAATATCACTATGCCAAGAAAGCAAGCTACCTCACCATGTGGAAACCGTGAGCTTGACACCACTGGGAAAGAAAGATGAGGTTAGGGATGAAAAGTCTGTGGGAAGGGAGTTGGTGGGGAGGATTGAAGATTAGACTTCCTCCTGTGGAATCTATGCACTTCACACCGCTCGCCAAGCCCATCGCTGGGAACCTATTCTGGCAAATCCTTCAGCTGCCTCAGAAATTCCTCACCGAGTTTTATGACTTTTGTGATTTAAACAATGAGCTAAAAGAGGATTGAGTGCAAAGGACTGTTTCCAGGACGCAGGAGTTTGGAGTCCACAATATTAAGGGAAGAATCCGCTAGTACTCCAGAATGCCATGAGAGTAGGTCCGCCACACTGCCTTTCTGTGCACTTGTCACGTTCATGTCACCCCGCAGTCCTCTTGTTGCCTGAATTATCTTCTCCTTGTCCCTGAATCACCCTGGGCCTCAATCTCCACATTTCAAAATTGAGAAGGATGAGGAAGATGTCCTCAATGACTCACAAATACTCTAATTATGTGTTTTCAGACATGGCCTTTCCCTTTTTTGACTGTTGACATATATTCCTAAATTAAGTGAGAATACCTGTAATCTAAGCTAATATGCTACAGATAAAACAACACCTCCTAATTTTATCACCAAGAGTTCGTTTTAGTCTGTTAATAAATACTGCTCACTACATATAAAAGAGGTCCTCCCAATCAAAATACATTTAGCCTTCTAAAAAATAAGAATAAAAATAAAAGAGGCATAAATGAATACGTATATTCAAATTTTCAACATAAAGACTAATTAAATATATCCTATCTATGTAATCACTATTTGTGATATAAGGCACAAAAATTGATTTGAAAATATGTCTTTTTTGAAATAAAAATTTAAATTGAAAAAGAATAACAGCTCACAACAAAATAAAATTTTTTTTAAAAAAACCTCTTCAGTCATTCGTTTTATCCATCCAATTTTTCCACAATGAAAATTTCTATTTTATACAAAGTAACTTGGAATGAAGAAAAGAGAGAGAAGGAGCGAGAGAGAAAGAGAGAGGAGCTTGAATATAAAGAATTAGTGAGTGTGGGTCAAGGTAAAGTGAATTTAAAAATACAAAGGTGATTCTAAAAACTATTATTATCTTAACTGATTTTAAAGTCAAAGATAGAGATGAATTCAAAATTGACTTAGCTACATTCTATGAAAACAAACGATATAAAATAAGAATTTGCTGAATCATTGAGAATTTTCCCCTACTAAACGATATTTAAGAACGCAGGGAAAATGTTACTGTCTAGTGACCAATTTTATTGTATAAGATGGAAATCAAAATTGTAGCAGACACTACTTGCGGTTCATTTGATACTCTAGTAATTGTTTTTCACGAACTAGTTGTGTGTGTACCTTTTACACACCTGAATACTTACCGCCTGCAATAATAACATCTTTGTATTAATGTTATCATCCATACAACTTTTCAAATTCAATATAATGTTTAAATAGCATGTATTTCTCAAGCATAGAAAACTGTCAATTTGTGTGTAATAAATTTAAATTAGCTAAAGTAAATGGGTTATACAAATAAATGGAATAGTCCTGGAATTTATTTTTGTGTGTGTCCATAACTCTGTTTTTAACACTTTGAAACCTTCTGTTCAAGAATATATATATATATGTGTGTGTGTGTGTGTATGTATCTATACATGTATATGTGTACATATATACATATATGTTGATATATTGATCAGTAATAAAGTCAGTTTTGATAATTCAAAACTCCTAGGACTACAGTTGAGGAGAGTAGCGTACTCCAACAACAGAATTTACTGTTTTCTGCCCTCTGCTGTTCAATGTTGGCAATTATCTAAAACATCAGTACTGTTTCTGAAACAAGGTTGATAAATTACAGTTAAAAATAGAAGGAATAAAATAACATCATCTCCCTCGTTATTTGTTTGGTTAGTTGATTGTTGCTTTGTTGTGCGTGTATGTGTGTTTAAATAATGAAGATAATTTTTAACATTAAGGCTAGAAATAAGTATTTTATGTAAAAAAAGATCATTTCCCCTTTAATTCATCTTTGTTTTAATTTAGCAAAAAATTAACTTATTTGTAAATCTGCTTTGAAATGTTTAAGAATTTTTAAATATGGCTACCCATTGTGCAGAGATTTAAGTTGTGTTCCAGTACAAAAAAGCTTTTCATAAAGTCACTGCAGGGATTAGGGGGTGAGATAATTTTGAAATGACTTGAGGACAAACTTCTAGTTGACTTGAGTATCAAAATTGTATCCTAAAAGTCAGTGTCATTGTTCCTAACAATGGAGTCTGACCAAAGTGGAGGTCACCTCCCTCTACCTACCCACCGCCCTCACCTGTGGAAATGCAGGACACCTGAGAGGCTTGGATGCAACACAGCATTAAAGAGAAAGGAACATCCATGCTACTTTCATCAGAAGTCGGCAAAGGTAGCAATTCCTGCAGTGAGAGCTCAAGTTCCACACCTGAGACTCTGTTGGCTGGGACAGAGCAGAAGAAAAAAAAGAGGGAAACATGGGGATTTACTTACTCAGGGCTATTAGAAAGGAACATTCATTCTCGAGAGTTTTAGTTCTTTAATTGAGATAAAAATATAGTGTTAACAAACAGAGTTATTCAGACTGGGACAATATTGATTACACTTTTCTTTTTGAGGTAGCAAAATTTTAAATCTTTGATTCAATAAAATCAATTATATGATCATAAAACAGATGTAAAAAGCTAGGTCTTTATAACTTTTTTAAGAATTTAAAAGAAAATCCATAAATGGAAAAAAAAAATACTTAGCGTGTTCGTTTTAGTTTGTTTAGAGGCTTTGCTTATATGGTGTGGATTTTAATTAAAATTTCCCCTATTAATAGCAATCCTGTACCAATAAATATTTACTAGAACACGTAACCTTTCATTTATCATTTCATTCAACAAACATTTGTTAAGGGACTACTATATTCTAGGGACTACTGTGCTTTACGCAGTGGATACAAAGATGTACACAACAGACGCCTTCCTCAAGAAGGTCCCAGACTTCAAGTAAGCAAGTGACTACACTACAGATAAGGGCAGCAAAGAAAACAACGTGATAAGGGCAATGAAAAATCTATTGTGTACAATATATGTTAGAGCTCAGGGAAAAGGAGGGCCAGCAAAAGTTGGTACCTGAGTTGGGTCTTAAATGACAAGTAGGGGTTAGTTAGCCAGGTGAAGAGATGGGATCTCGTGAAGGACAACACTTCATGGAAATATAGTGACACCAGTAGAGGCGTACGTGTGGTCCTGGACTTGTAAGTGGTTCAGGTTTCTAGAGTAGAAAGTGTGACGCAAGGAGTAGCAGGAATAAGTCAGACCATGATAAAAATGTGGACTTTATCCTACGGGAAAAGGGAAACATTTGAAGGTATTAAGTAGAGAAGTGAGTTGATAAGATTTGCATTTTAAATAGAAGATTTTGGAGGTTGTGTGGAGAATCTATTTAAGAGGAAAAGTATGGAAAGTAAGGAAACTAGATAAGGGGCTGTATTCCTGTGTAGGGTGATGAGAGCCTGGACTAAGGAAGTCATAGTGAGAATAAGGGAAAAAAAATGTTGGTTTCAGGAAATATTTAGGATAGAAATTTAAAAGAACTTGTTAGTCAGTTTGTATATGACAATGGCAAAGAAGAGCGAGAAACAAAGTAGAGTCCCAGGGTATTATGCTGAGCGCCCAGGACAATGTCAGTCTCACCGAGACATGTGGAAAACCCAGCAACGTAAATGTAGGGGGCAAGCTGATGTGTTCCATTTTCAGCATGTTGAGTTTACAGGGTCTGTGAGACACATCCGGCTGAAATGTTGTGTTACAACTTCAGACTGAGTTCAAAGCTCAAGGGAGAGGCTTCATTTAGAAGTTAATTTTGAGAATCATCAGCCAGTCTTGTTTCATACAGTAGTTATTCGTTCTTGAAAAAGTCAGTTAAAGAAAAGAACCAAAAAAAAAAAAAAAAAGGAAGAAGAGAAACATGCATACCTTAAAAATTCTACTTTAACATAATACTTATAGATGTACAATCTTTTTCCAGT